ATAAATAAAATCTTTAAAAAAAAAAAAAAAAAAAAAAAAAAAGAACTGGATGCCTCCAAAGAGCAAATAAAACTTGTGGAGACTGGGACTGTTTCTTCAGTGCCCCTGCTTCCTCCATCCTCACAACTGCTCAGGGTCAACAACAGAGATCCCTCAGCCACTTACCGATTGGTTCTGCATTTGATAAACCCATTTAATATGATGATTTAATATAATTTTGTATCTCTCTGGAGAGCCGTCAAGGGCTAGGACAGGGACCCTAATGCTGCATTCAACTTCCTGGCTGGAAGGCCAGGATGAAGTTGCTTTTCATCCCTCTGTGCTAGCAGGAAGTAAGGCAGCACCCATGAGGGGAGTGCGAGGTGAGAGGGAGACGCCAAAAGGAGCGTTCAGGTGGAGCAATTAGATGGTGATCTCAGGTAACTGCGTAAGGAGAGCAGAGCGGGGCCGCTGGAAGGGAAGCAGCTGAGGCAGTTCCTGTGGGTCCAGCTCAGAGAGGGGAGGGGAGCCAATTTCCGCCCCCGTCCCCAACTCACATCCCAGCCCTAAACATGCTTCACAGCCTCAGGGGGAAACTCTGGCAAAGGATCCAGTGGGGGGTGGCGGGGGTGCTTATCGTGATCAGGAGTGGGTGGGATCAGATCTTAGAACTTACATCAGGTCTCAATTTTCCAGACCTTGCCTGTGCCCTGCCACCCCTTCCGCCCGTAAACCCATCTTTGACTTTATCTCTTTAGAAATGTCTTCGGGCTAGCAGTTTCTTTCTCAGAGATTGCAGATCAGGAAGGACCTTCGGAAACCACAGTTTCTACTTCCACTGTAGGGGCAGAAAGCATGAGGCAGCCCAACCCCTCGATGCCTGGGAAGTAACAGAGGACCAAAGCTGGCTCTGTGTTGTAGGACTACCGCCCTTACCAGGTCCCTGGTGTCCTGCACCCGCTCTGCAGAGCCCACACAGGGGGTCTTTATGCCTCTGGTTTCTCCCCATCCTGCTTGCCTCTGCTAAAAGGTGTGTTTTCCCTACTCAAGCCCCCTGAAAGTAGCTCCCTGTCACTTCTCATCTGACCCCCAACTCCTTGGCCTCACCTTCATGGACCTTGGTGGACTGGCTTCAGCTCTATCATTTGTGAGTCACCCTTGCTGCTTTGTTCCAGCCCCACCAATGTGCTTATTGCTCTCTCCCACATAGGAATTACTCACTGCTTATGTCACCAATCCCTCTGGAATGTGCTCTCTCCTCCATGACACCCATTGTCTCTGCATCATTTATTATTTTGTGTAAACTAACAATGTTGGTTTTCCCCCTCTGATAATTTAAACAATACATGTTTGTTGTAAAAAATCTGTAAAATGGAGGCACCTGGGTGGCTCAGTCATTAAGCGTCTGCCTTTGGCTCAGGTCATGATCCCAGAGTCCTGGGATCGAGCCCCGTATCGGGCTCCCTGCTCAGCGGGAAGCCTGCCCCACTCCCCCTGCTTGTGTTCCCTCTCTTGCTGTCTCTCTCTCTGTCAAATAAATAAATAAAATCTAAAAAAAAAAAAAAGAAAGAAAGAAAATCTGTAAAATGAAAAATGTATACAAAAGAAAATTGAAAGTACCCAACATTCTGCAACCTGATTTTAACTAACAGTACCATTTTGGTGGGCTTCCTTCTAGTATTCTCCTCACCAGAACTCCTTCCTGCCTCAGGCCTTCGTGCATGCTTATTATTCCTTCTACCTAAAAGTCACTCTCTCTCTCCTTTTCCCCTCTTCCTGCTCCCCCTCTTCTTCTCTTCCCTCTTCATTCTGTGAGTAAATCCACCATGTGTATAATCATAAAGATCATTCTTGCAGAGAAATCTTTACTTTACCCTCAAGTTATGTCTCTCTATTACACACTCACAGTACCCAGTACTTTTCCTTGTAGCACTTACCACAACTAGAAATAAACCATCATTTTTGTCTTCATTTGTTTAATGTCTGTCTAAGCTACTTGACTTGACGTAAGGTCCATGACTTGCTTGTTTATTCTGTGGACACCAGCATCCACCAGTGCTCCATACACAGAAAACATACAGCACATTGCACCAAGACAATAACCATGTATCTGTCCTCTTGGCACTTTAAAATAATCAATTTTAACAAATATAATGAATCAATCACCATATGAGACCTGGTTCCAGGTACAGGATACCTGGTTCTTGCCCCAAGGAGTCCTCAGTCTTTTGAGGGAGACAGACAAGTAAGTGGAGGATTCTGATATGTCCTTGATGATCAGTTATAAGTATATATGATCAATAGTGTTAAGTAAAGCATAGGGGAAGGGTCCCCAAACTAGCCTTGAGGGAGATGATGCTATGGCTTTAATTTGTCCTCGTTAATGCATTTACTTCATAGAATCCTAGGATAGTAGAATTGGATGGAACTGCAAGATCAATAGGCCCCAACTCTTTCTGCAACGTGAGGAAACTAAGGCAGTGAAGGGCAATAAAGTGACTTGGTCAAAGCCACTGGGTAATTTATTGGTGGCAGATCTGTGATTAGAGCCTCAATCTTGAGACTCCCAGCACAGTCCTCTTTCTACCTATATCTTAGGGGCCTTTGGAATCTGCCCCCCTGCTGTTTCTATTCTGTTAATCCCCAAGTCCTGATGATTTGACCTTGTACAGGTTTGTCCAGTCTGTCTGCTTTTCCTCCGCTCCCCTCCACCATGTTTCCAGCCTCCATTGTCTCCAGGTTGGGTGCCTACACTTACCTCTGACCTCATCTCTCTGCTTCTAGTCTTGTCCTGCTCAGATTCCTTCTCTACTTTGCAGCCAGAGTGAACCTCCACAGGCCTAAGTGTGAGCATGTATATCCCCAGCTTAAAGCCTCATTGAGGGGCACAGCCAGTTAAGCATCAGACTCTTGGTTTTGGCTCAAGTCCTGATCTCATGAGTCAGGAGATTGAACCCCATGTTGGGCTCGGCCAGCGTGGAGTCTGCTTCAGATTCTATCTCCTTCTCTCCCTCCTGCTCATGCTCTCTCTCTCAAATAACTAAATAAATCTTAAAAAAAAAAAAAAAAGCCTCATTGAGCTTTTAGTTCAAAATTCCCAGTATGGTATATTAGCTTAGGCTACCATAACAAAATACCACGGACTGGGTGGCTTAAACAACAGAGATGTATTTCTCAGAGTTCTGAAGGCTGGAAGTCCAAGATCAAGGTGCCAGCAAGTAGGTTTAATTCTGAGGCTTCTTTTCTTTCCCCACATCAGGCAGTAACATGCCAAGGTTGTAATAAGGTTTGAGAAAGGCATATGTCACACAATGGCATGAACACCCAATTGTCACTCTTATGAACCACAAATGGATCAGAGGCCTCTGCTTTTGACTTGCAGGTGGCCACCATCCCCCTTGTGCTCATATGGCCTTTTCTCTGTGTGCTCATGAGAAGACAGAGCTCCCTTGTATCTCCTCCTCCTTTTATAAGGATACAAACCCCATCAAATTAGGGGCCCATTCTTCGGATCTCATTTAACCTTAATTACCTACAAAAGACCCTATCTCCAAATACAGTTACATTGGAGTTTAGGGCTTCAACAGATGAATCTTGGGGGCACACAATCCCATTCATAGCACATGGTCTACCAAGCTTTTCTTTCTTTCTTCCTTTCTTTCTTTTTTTTATTATAGATTTTATTTATTTATTTGACAGAGAGAGAGAGAGCACAAGCAGGGGAAGTGGCAGGCAGAGGCAGAGGGAGAAGCAGGCTCCCCACTGAGCAAGGAGCCCGATGTAGGGTTCGATCCCAGGACCCTGGGATCATGACCTGAGCCAAAGGCAGTCACTTAACCAACTGAGCCACCCAGACACCTGTACCAAGCCTTTCTTAACCTAGCCTACTTTATGAGCTTCATCTAAGCCCCACTACCCTCTCTGACTCCATGCTTCTGTATCTCGAATCTCTCTTGGTTCCTTGAACTTCCTCTGTTCTCTGCAGCTCTGATCCCTCCATCACCTTCCCTCTTTCTCTACCTGTCTTACTCTTATTTCTAGTCTTTGTAAGGAAAGATCTACCTAGCCTTGGAGCAAATGGATATGGTTTTGCCTGCTTTGGCTCTGAGTCTCCCAAGACATCACAGTACCTGTCTTGGATCTCTTTGAGAGCTGCTTGCTTTTTTTGAGAACTGAGAGGACCGATTACAAAGTAGAGTGTACAGCCCCCACTCGAGCCAGAGACTCGAACTCAGTCCTGCTTTATTGGTTTCCCCCTTTTGGACCTACATCTTGCCCTTTCAATTTCTGCTTGGAGAGACAGCTGAACTGATTTCTGGGCGGACATGGCTCTCACTTGTCTAGTAAGCAGTAAACTCAGCTTCCCTCCTCTGCCAGCTCAGATGTCTTTGTATTTTGGTTGCTTTCAAGTCTCAGTTTAAATATCAGTTTCCAAGGGAGCCTTCCCTGATACCCCATCCTGTGTTTAGTCCTCTGGCTCTCCAGCAGCCTGTGCTCCCCCTTTAGTAAGAGTCACTACTTCATTCCTGTTATGTTTCATGTCTGTCCTTCTGAGCTCTCTTGGGCAGGATGCCTCTCTGCTTGGTTGCAGTATCCCCAGGTGAGTGCAGAGCCTGGCTCCTAGTAGGCTATCAGAAACTGTTAGCTTTTTTAGTAGATGCCCCATAAATATTCATTGGCTTGAGGTGTTCTCAAATAGTTTCTCAGATAGTCGTGTATGCATTTTGTTGTCTAAATTGGACTGAATTTTTTTTTGAAGATTTTTAAAATTTATTTGACAGAGAGAGAGAGAGCACGCGCACAAGCAGGCAGAGGGAGAGGGAGGCAGAGAGAGAGAGGCAGAAGCAGGTTCCCTGATGAGCAGGGAGCCCGATGTGGGACTCGATCCCAGGACCTTGGGATCAGGACCTGAGCTGAAGGCAGACGCTTAACGACTGAGCCACCCAGGTGCCCCTTCATAAATGATTCTTAACTGATTTCCCACAGTAACTTTCCCAAAAGGCAGCATATTCTAAGAAAGGATCAAATTCAAAAGAGTATGTATGTGGCAGGACAATTTATCGTGAATTTCTTCTAACAATCTATTAAAGATAAAAAAAGAATGAAGATATTCTCCTCTCCCTCCTCTGCATAGCCAGGACTTTGTTTCCTTGAAGCTGTGGGTTTCCTGACCCCTTGAGGAGTTTGGCTTTCTTTAGTGTGTTTTATTATTTATTTATTTATTTGATTTTTAAATTATTTTATTTTACTTGTGTTTTTTTCATCATGGTAAGTGTACTCTTAAATCCCCATCGACTATTTCACCCAGCCTCCCACTCACCTCCCTTCTGGGAACCATCAATTTGTTCTCTATAATTAAGAGTCTGTTTTTTGGTTTGTCCCTCTCTCTTTCTCTTTTTTCTTCCTTTGCTTGTTTGTTTTGTTTCTTACATTCCACATATGAGTGAGATTATATGGTATTTGTATTTTTCAGACTGACTTATTTCACTTAGCATAATACTCTAGCTCTATCCATGTCGTTGCAAATAGTGAGATATTGTTCTCTTTTATGGCTGAATAATAGTCCATTGTGTGTGTATATATATACACACACAATGGAATATATATATATATTTCACCCAGCCTACCTAGCCTACTAGAACTATTTCTAGTTCTGTGAAAAATGCTGTTGGTATTTTGATAAGGATATATATATATATTCTTTGTCCTTTGATCTATTGATGGACATCTGGGCTGCTTCCATAGTTTGGCTGTTATAAATAATGCTGCAATAAACATAGGGGTGAATGTATCCCTTTGAATTCGTGTTTGTGTATTTTTGGGTAAATACCCAGTAGTGTGATTACTGGATCCTGGGGTAGTTCCATTTTTAACTTTTTGAGGAACCTCCATAGTGTTTTCCACAGTGCTGCACCACTGCATTCCCAACAGTGCAAGAGGGTCCCTTTTTCTCCACATCCTCGCCAATGCTTGTTGTTTCTTGTGTTTTTGATTTTAGCCATTCTGACAG